GAGTAATATTCATTACGGAATTAGATGTATTGACACGAAATGTTAAATGTAAATACTTGTGTAAAATACTTATTTTTTATCTTTAGGTTACAGACTTTAACTATATATATATATATATATATATATATACAAATTTACTGGAAAATTGATACTAAATACTAGGTGTAACAGCAAAATTGACCAAATCATGTAAAAGCATGGGATAATTGTCCATCCCATGAAATGGTTAATATCTAAAAAAAACTACTGAACTAATTGAGTTTCTTTTTTCCAGGTTTTCAGATAAGACATTTAGCCATCTTGACACCATTTGTCATAAGAACCCTTTGAGTTATTCAGCTAGAAAGAGAACAGATTAAAATTGTTTTGTGTCAGCCCCACTATATCTTCCCAACTGAGCAATGGTGAGAGGAAAAAGGTCATTCAGGCCTTCAGTAATGGTAAAAACATTCATACCCTGGCTTCCATCTTCAAAGTCCATTCAAGAACCATCAAAAGAACGGTGAATAGGGAACAGTAGAGAGGGAAAATGGATCAGGAGGTCACAACAGAAAGTAGGATCATCGTTTCAATTTAGAGCTAAATACATTCTTATGGTTCAAAGTGGAGTCCAGTAATGTTATAAAAACCTCAGAGAATTCCAGTAAGATATCTTTAATCATTTCTAAGATACAACAATTCAAAGCTTAATCTAAAAATTGGACAATTTTGCTGCTACATGATTTAGACAATTTTGCTGTTCCACACAGGATTTTAGGGATACACTTATTTGAGTAAATGGTCTATTTTTTAATTAAACAATATTAATTACATTTACTCAAATGTGTATATCGACAAAAAATAACATATAAACAGAAAATATATTAAAATATTCGTTGTATTTAATCCATTTCATATATATATATATTTTTTTTTTCCTAAAAAAATAATGGATTTTTATTTCTTAATCTCACATATATTTTTATCACGTAAACACTATTTTTAGTGGATAGCCATTATTTTATTTTTATCAACTGGCCTGAATATTCGAGAAAAATACACCTTTAATAAGATTTCTTGAATATTCAGGCTGGTAGATGAAAATAAATAAATATACTGTTTAATAAATAAATGAAGCATCTACTCAAATATGAGTATCCATGAAAAATAACATTTGTCATGATATATATATGTACATATATATATATGAAATGGTTTAAATCTGACAAATATTTGAGTGTGTATGTGTGTGCGCACATGTTAGTAGGATGTATAATAGTAACCAAAACAAGAGTGGAGATAATGGGACAATATGGAGAAGCTTTTTAGCAACATGTTTAAATGCAAAGCTTACAAAATCCACAGAATAAGATTACATAAATGCACAAATAATAATAATCCCAACAACCATAACAAAAGTAGGCATATAATCCTACTTACAAATACCATTAGAGACACCATCAAAAATAACTTAACCTAAAATTTATCAGCACCACCTATAAAACAATAAGAGATATAGTTAGCATCAAATGAGATAGCAACAACAGAACAGAGGCAAGAATTTACAAAATAGATTGTACAAAAATGCCCCAATGGTGTACATCGATTAACTGTCTAGAAGTCTTGCCAAAAGACTATATAAGCATCACAGAAATATGTTGCATAATAACACTTTAAATGCACTGGTGTTTCACTATAACACATCTGACCACAATTTCAACTTAAATATCAGTCTGATCAGGAAAGAAAAGGATTTACTAACAAGGAAAGGCGCTGAGAGTGCACCCTAATCTCACAATTTTTATTTATATATATAATTCATTAAATCCAACAAATATTTAATGTATCTTCTATTTATACATTATTTTTATAGATACAATTTATTTAAGTAAATGCTCTGTTTTTAATTAAACTGTATTAATTACATTTACTGGCCTGAATGTTTGAGAAATTTTATAGAAAATATACGTTCTCCGACAAGAATTGAACCTGTATTCCTATACAGAAATTGTCATTTGATCTGGTGTGCTTTACCATTTAGCTACAGAGAAGCATCTGGTTAGCAAAGTCCAAATTTACTGTTTTTAAATATATAATCTTCGACAATTTTTCTCGATTGGTCAAATTCTGCTCACAAAACAATGACAACATATATTGAAATGGATTAAGTTCGTCAATTATTTAATATATTTTCTGTTTATATGTTACTTTTATAGATATAATTTATTTAAATAAATGCTCTATTTTTAATTAAATAGTATTAATTACATTTTCTGGCCTGAATATTCAAGAAATTTTGTAGAGAATATATGAATGGAATACAAGTTCAATTCCTGTTGGAGAATGCATATTTTCTACAAAATTTCTCAAATATTCAGGCTGGCAAATGAAATTAATACTGCTTAATTAAAAACTGAGCATTTACCTAAGTAAACTGCATCTATAAAAATAATGGATAAACAGAAAATATATTAAATAATTGTTGGATTTAATCCATTTCATATATATATATATATATATATATATATATATATATATTGGTCATTGGATTTGATAAGGTCATTTTATTTAGTGCCCCTCTTATCCTCAAAAATCCCAATGCATTTTCTTTAAACACATTTTTCTCTTTCATTACGACCTGAAGAAGCCAAATCTAACACACATTAGTGAAACATATTGTTAAAAAACTTTTCCACTTTGTCTCATTATCTTCCCCCCCACGCATATATAAAATTGTATATACTTTAAAAATTAACTTTGACAAAAGCATTTTCCCCTCAGGATCTGATAGCACAAACTTTGATAATTTTAAGGATATTTAAATTAATTTTTTTTAACCATTTCACTCCAAACAAGGCAACAATGTTAATAAAACACAGGGGCTTACAGAAAGTGAAACTTAAAGAGAATGAGATGACTGTGAATAGGGAGGATTGAGGAAAAGACAAAAAAGGAACAGGATTCAAGAAAATGGAAGATGCCAATTGATGTTGCATTTAAATTTTTTAATGTAGTTATCAGGGAAGCAAGAAATTGAAAAAGAGTTCCACAGGTAGGAAATGCAAGAGAAAAAAACTGTTAGAGTACAAAATGGTCAATGCATCTAGCTAGGTCAACAGTAAAATGGTGAGACCTAGTTGCCAATTTAGTAGCATGCTTAAATTCATGTAGTATGGGCACCAGGGTAAAAAGCTTGTCAGAACATTTGCCATGAAAATATTTGTAGAAAAGACAGAGAGAAGCCACATCACGTCAGTGAGAAAGTGACTGAAGTTTAAATGCCAGGTCAAGATTGATTTATTACAGACCCTTTGGATTTTGTCAAGACTCTCGAGATGTACAGCAGGAGCACCTGACCAGATATGGCGACAGTAGTGAATGCACAGGCGAATGGTAGATTTGTAAATGTGCAAGATGAATTCTGATGAGAAAAATTGTTTGGCATTATACAAAGAACCAACTTTCTTTGCAGGAGATGTAGCAATTGATCACTCCACTTCATGTCAGTGGAAAATGTGAGCCCAAGGCAGAATAAAGTGTTGCTCTCCTCAAGTAAGCAGAAAAGATTATCTGTGGTGATTAACTGAAAGCAGTTTTGTTATTCTCAGAATGTCATTATTAATATTATGTTATTAAAAAAACTTATGTCTACATCTTAGTTTTTGCTTATATTTTTCTTTTTTGAAATATATTTTTCAACAGAGTTTTATTTATGAAATTCGTGCTAATTGAATCAATGGTGGAAAAAATGAAACAGATTAATATCTACTGCCCTAGAGACAAAGTGTTGATCTAATCTGATCTGATATAATTTCATCAGGCAAATAGATTGATCACCCTCCAGTGGAAAAACCATGTTTATATAGAACTCAGTGGGCAGAACCCATTTCAACTGCAGGTGGAACAGGTCAACTTATTAAAGCACAACTTTGCATTAGCTGAAGGCTATCAGTTCAAAACTTGTGCTGAGTAACAAATACACACCTGAACCACTTAACAACTTAACACAAAGTCTTATTAAAGAAAATATGCCTCTTGACAGAAATTGAACATGTATTCTCATTTTAATCCAAGAAACTACCTTCAAGCAAGGCATGTTTGACCATTAAGCTACAGGAAGCAATTACAGCAAAGTCTCAATTGCCCTATTTTAAAAAGGTTATCACCATTTGAAGTTTATAGCTACCAAGATTTTTTTTATCTAAAATGTAAACCAAATAATTTTTAAGTAATTAATTCTTATTTTGGTCTCTAGGCTGGTAGATTTTAATTGCATTGTTTGAAAAAGACCAGGGATATCTGATCAAGTATGCATACCCATTATATATATTGTTTAGAGCAATAAGTAGTAATGGAAGATTAAAAAATCCCCTAATAAAAAAGTTGCTTAAAAGCAGTAATAACAACTTCTGAAACTAACTTACTAAACACTGCTCTACAATAAGGTACCTCTATATTTACATATTGGTAGTAGTATTGGTACATTTGTACCTTGTGTGGCAACCAATCTAAGAGAAGAAAATATTAGAATTCTAAAACATGAAAAAAACAACAGGAAACCACTCCACTATTTTCCCTAAGAATGCATGGCAATTCACAGATAATAAAAAAGGAAACTGTGGAGAGTCATGAGCGTCTATGTTTTTGTAATTTTCAAATATTTCCTGCAGACTATTTTTCAGTACAATACTTACAAGTTTATTATAATATATGATATACTATTTTAAACCGTTTTTTTTTAAATATTTATATGCATACTATTGTTCTCATCTTTGTTGTTGTTATCACATTTCAGCTGTTGTGCTCTCCAGCCTTCATCAGGTGTATGTCAATGCAGGTAACCTACAGGGAATTGCAAACTGAACCATTTATTTAATCTATTACAATAATAACAACAAAGATGAGTAAAACAGTCTGCATGTAAATAATGCTGATAATAACAACTCCTCATCCCAGAAATTTAGAAAAAATGCTAATAATACTTAATATTTTTTATATTCTATAAAAAATACTGAATCTAGGAAGCGAGACAAGACAGAAGAAGAAGAAAGCTTGACCGCATGTCCTTACTGTGATTCTGTCATCCCAGATACTCAGTTGGTGTGCCCAGACTGTAAAACGAATATTCCTTACTGCATTGCAACGGTAAGTAATGTGGAATTGAGATAATAATTAATGCCAGCAACAGTACAATTAACTTTTCATTAGGATCGAAATTTAATGATATTTATTTTGTATATGTTTAAATTATTTTGTGGCAACTGAGGCATTGCTATGTAATTTTAATGTTGAGAAATATAAATAATTTAAAGTCACTGTTTTCATGTTTTTAGTTCATGAAATATAGTGTAAAGCTAATAAATGGTATAAAACTTTTAATATATAGTACTTTGCCAAAAATTAAGATTCTAATAGGGCAATAATTTGAAAGATCAAAAGGTTCCCCAGAATGCTTAAACCAGGAACTACAGAGGACTTCCAACAAGCTGGAAAAACAAGAAGCAGCGAAGTATTTATTGTAAATTTTGAAGAGAACAAGTGCTGGTTCAGGAACACATTTCTTCAAGACAATTGAAAAGGATACCATCGAATCCGCAAACCTTGTGGGAATCTACTTTAGAAACAGTAGTAGTCTGATTTGTAATTTTAAAAAATTTCCGAATACAACAATCCCCTTAGGAAGGCCAGTTTGTATATCTGAAATGTTGTGTCAATAATGACAATCCAATTTAAGGCAATGGTTGATAATTTCTCTTCTCAGAAATTCAGACAGACATTGACCTGGTTGATAATTTCTCTTCTCAGAAATCCAGACAGACATTGATATTGTTGATAATTTCTCTTCTCAGAAATCCAGACAGACATTGACATAGTCGATAATTTCTCTTCTCAGAAATTCAGACAGACATTGACATGGTTGATAATTTCTCTTCTCAGAAATTCAGACAGACATTGACATAGTCGATAATTTCTCTTCTCAGAAATTCAGACAGATATTGACATGGTCGATAATTTCTCTTCTCAGAAATTCTGACAGACATTGAATCTCATATTCCGGAATCTGCAGATGGAATCAATAGGATATATTTCATCCATTTCTCAATTTAGTCTCTGCATTTGTAGGATGTATTATTATTTATTAGCGATGTGTTTTGCCAGACTGTCTGCTCTCTTTTCTAACCTGAGGAAGCCAAAGAGTAGATGCTCTGGCTAACCATACAATTAATAAATTTTCCATTTTATCTCATCGTCAATGTAGTCTGTAATCTTGGATGTTCATATTGATCTGAGAGTAACACAAGCCATAATCTCTGGCATGACTAAGCTGTAATAATTAAAATATGTATGTTCTTAGTATGAAAACGACGAGGAAAATTAACAAGAATTAATTGAACTAATCTGATCAATGCATTTATCAAATGCTGAGCATGGATTTCTAAATTCTCAAAGCACTCATCAGAAATGGCTTATTAGAATGGGTTTTGTTTGGATAATTGAAAAAAATGTTTTCTTCATTGTACGGATAATTGAGCAAATACCCTAGGTAGTTTTTTTTCTTAAATCCTTTCACCCTCGAGCAAGGTGATAAAGCCACAAAGATGCAAAGACTGATAGTGAAAGAATAAGAGAAAAACATTACTGAGGAGAGAAGAAAATAAAAGAGAAAGATTCAAAAGGATAGAAGATAATGATGACTGACATTGCATTTGAATTTTTGAAGATCGTAATTGACAGGAAAGCAGGAAGCCAGAAGAAAGTCCCACAGGTGAGAAAAAAACTGTTAGCATAGAAGACAGTTCCATCTAGCAATTTTTATGAGTAAAATGAGACCAAACTGCCAATCTAGTACTTCACTTCAATTCATAAAGTCATAATTTAAATATATGTTTTTTGTATGAGGAAAATTAACTAGAATTAATGAAACTGATCTGATCAGCATTTTTATCAAATACTGAGTACAGTTTTCTAAATTCTCAAAACACTAGTTGGAGAGGGATTATTAAAATGGATTTTGTTTGAATAATTGAAGAATGTTTGGATGATTTCAGTTTTTCTCTTGATTCCATGTCCAGTTAATCAAAGTCTGGAAAATCGAAGGAATACTGTATTAAGAATTAACAATACTAATTTGGATTGTTTTTGGTGCCATTTATTTTAATTGCTCCTTTGTTATTATTTTTAGGGTTGTCACATCAGGAAAAAGGATCTTACTGAATGCCCAAATTGTCACTTTCCTGCAATCCATTCAGAATTTTTAAAGTAAGTCCATTTTTTTTTTCTTAATATGCATGCTGGTACTTAATAATAACTACAAAGGTGATAATTCAAAAACAGGAAGAAAAACAATTACTTTGTCATTTTTAATAGCAACCCAAAACAACACCCTTAGAACAAACGACATAAAGGCCAAGATAAGATAAAACAGGAAAACACCAAATGTAGATGATGTTCAAAGTAAAGATAAGTCAATGAATTCCATAATCAATGAATGTAGAGTGTTGGTCTAGAAAGAAGCCAATACTAGGCATGACTGGGTCGGAAAAGTAATCTGCTGAGAACTGTGCAAGCAATTATTTTGATTATGCATGCAAATGTTATAAGCACAAGCCAGAATCTGTTCTAGAGAATGAATAGCATAAAATTTTCTGGGACTTTCAGATTCAACCAAATCACCTAATCCAGTCCAAAAGACCAGATCTGATAATCGTCAGCAAAAAGAAAACATACCAAACAGTGGATTTCACTGTTTCAATTGATCACAAAGTAGATCTGAAAGAAAATGAAAAAATGGATAAGTGTCTTGGCTTTTCCAGAGAGCTGGACAAGTTGTGGAATAAGATGACACACATGTCAGTTGATATTGAAATACTGGGAACAGTCCTTGAAGAGCCTAGGCAAATAATGATATATTAGAGCCATATTTTTTGTTGAGGCAGGACCAGAATTAATCTCACACAAGCAATGTGGGTCCTGTGTGACAAAGGATCTGTCATAATGATTTGAGGTAAGGTTTTACAAGGCTGGATGCTCTTCCTGATGTCAAACTCAGACACTCATAGTTGTCTGAGTATTTTAATCAAGACACCATCTCTAAGAATGTTGCTATTCAATGCTTCAATTGAGACCCCATCCTAGCCTCTCTCTCTCTCTTTCTCTCTCTCTCTCTCTCTCTCTCTCTCTCTATATATATATATATATATATATATATATATATAGTTATCCACAGACAGACTGTTTCACTGTTTCACAACTCATCAGTGTAGCTAGACATCCAGTTGCCTCAAGCTGGGATCGAAACCCAACTGATTTGGTATCAGTCGAAAACACTACCCCTAAGCCATTGGCACACGGCAGGGATGAAGGTGAATTTAGATGTATTTATTTTTTAGATAAACGCATCAGTGACTGGAGAATTTTATTCGTCTTAACAAAGCGTCTTGCAGTAATAGTCACTGTTTACAAATTCACTTTTCTCCCCAAGAGCTCAACCAAAATGATTTTTTCGGGAGCATATTATCACTTTAAACATTATTTTTAGTGGATACTAATAGTTGAGTAGATGCTCCAGTTATTTATTAAACAGTGTATTTATTCATTTTTGTCTACCATCCTGAATAGTCAGGAAATCATCTAAAACTATGCACTCTATGGCAAAATTTGAACCTGCGTAACCCTGAGCAGAGGGAACTGTCATTAGGTCTGACATACTTTAACTGACTTGGCTAAAAAGAAGAATCTTTGCCAATCAAGCAAGGCTGAATAGTGTCTTAAAGTGAAATCCTTCTCATCTTAGATTCTAAAAATACCATATCTGCTTAGTTTCATATACTATCTTTTCCACTTATTTTTCTGCTTCTCTCTTCTTTATCATCATCATTGTATGTCATCCTCCTCTTAATAATAATAATAATAAACTAATGTTTAAAGTGATAAAATCTGTCTGATTAATAAATTAAAAAATCCATTACTTTAGAAATATATATATATATATATATATATATATATATATATATATATATATATATATATATATTTACATTAAATAATATAGACAAGTGTTGTCTATTTATTTTATGTAAAATTTTTTCGTATCTTCTGATAAGTTTGATAACATTATCATTAACCGAAAAAAATTCACAATATTTATCCATTATTTTTTAATGTAATCTAAGCTTTCGGCTTACTCAAGCCATTATCAAAGATGTAATTACAAACATATCAAACAAAATACGGACACGGCAGTGATGATAGTCTGTCATTGTTTAGTTTACATAGTGGATCACTAAGCAACGATGAACACGCGCATATAAGACGCTAGAAGCGAAAATCGCACCGCATCTCATGACGTCACACATGACTACACGAGAGTGAATTGGAGAATGAAATAAGGAAAGCCGTTGGTATAAACCAATGGCTTCTGTTACCAATTATAGAAATTATAGACATTTAAGAATATTTGTAAAGATTCCATAGTTGATTTTGTTTAGGTTGGGTTTTAACTGTTTGATGTATAATGCTTCAAGTATTTTTAGTTTTTGTCTATTGTTTTTCATGTCGAAGTATAGTTGTGTTTTAATAAGTATTTTACGGAATTGTGTGTGCGGGCAGGCATGTTGTTTTAAATGCCTAAAATGTTAGAGTTTTCATTAAAATGTAGTGTCAAGCATCGTGAAAGCGAGTTTGTGGTGTGACCAACATAAATATTATTTAATTCGTTGGAGATACACTCTCCCAAAGGGCACTTGAATTTATAAACTATGTTGGTTTTTTTGCAAATCGCTAACCGGGGAGAAGAATCATTCGAAGTATTAAGTTGGATATACTAGATTTAGTGTAGTATATGATTAATTTAATTTTTTGCTAGGATCTGTAGTTGATATATTAGAATTTACTAAATTTTTTAGTATGTGTTCATCTTGTTTATAATTAGTATTCATTTGATTACGATATAGGATATTAATATATTTGAGATCAGTAGAAGCAGTATTATGTACAATTTTCTTATTATTGAGATTTCTAAGAAAGTATCTTATTTGTTCATCAACTATATAGTTTGGAAAGCTATTATTAATAAGTGTCTGTTTTATATTCTTTAGTTCACTGTAAAAAATCTGTTTGGTGGATGAATTAGTTTCTGCACGATGTATTAGATTCTTTATAATTGCTATTTTGTTGTAATATGGGCATTCGCTCTTGTAGTTAAGTGTACATGAATTTATGCTTGTAGGTTTTTTGTATGGCGAAATAGTAAATTTGTTATTATTTGTGTTTATCAATATGTCAAGGAAGGGGATTTTATTATTAGTATTGAGTTCATATGTGAATTTAAGGACAGAATTATTTTGGAACGTTTTTGAAGTTGAATTATTTCATCTGTATTTTTAACTAACATAAGAATATCATCAACGTATCTTAGGTAGATTGATGGTTTTTTAAAATCTGTAAATAACTTATTTTCGAGGTTCGACATGTAGAAATTGCTAAATGTCGGGCCCAATACTGAACCCATGGAGACACCATCACGTTGTATATATATATTGTTATTATGATCAAAGAAAGGGACTTCAGTAGTACAAGTTAATAGTAGTTTTCTTAATATATTAGGATTAATTTTAAGTGGGGGTAAAGATGAGTTACTGTATATATTTCTTATGATTATGCCAATAGTTTCACTAACAGGGACATTGGTAAATAAGTTTTCAGCATCAAGTGAAGCCATGATTTCATTGTCAGGTTTTTCACTTTTTAGGATTTGGATTACTTCTAATGTTGACTTAACACTATATTTACTAGGAAGATAGGGAGTAATAAGTTGGTTGATGTATTTTGTTAGATGATATACAGGAGTTGGAATTTGCGATATGATAGGACAGAGAGGATAGTTAGGTTTATGTGTTTTTATATATATATATAGAGAGAGAGAGAAAGAAAGAGTGAGGATTAATACAAATATAAAATTTGCCACTTACATGGTTGATGTTACCTTCAGCATCATGTCTCTAGAGTTTCGTAGATGGATCCTCCAGTATTTGCTCCATTCACTCATCAGGGGATATTGGTTGTTGGCTCCTATAAGAAGCTGGAGAAAGTGAAAATAAGGGGATAAGTGGGAACCATGATGGCATTATCAAAAACAGTAATTATTATTGAAAAGAGTTATAGTATTGAGAAGACTTGCAGTCATTTAATCCTCATTGTAAGTCATCTTTTACTTCTTATATGAGAACTCAATGAAGGAAATAAGTTTAAAATTTGATGATAAATAATTCTTGGTTCTGTTCCTCAGGCTTTTAATCTATATGAATTTTCAGATTATTTATCATTAAGACTCTTTCTATCAAGTTGTTAATAATAAATTATTTTATTCATATATATATATATATATATATATATATATATATATATATATATATACACACACACATACACAGTTTGCAGCTCACATTATTAGCCACTTCATTAATAAATACTTATTGAAATCTAAAGCCTCATTTACTGATGGCAACATCTGTATATGTGATTAAGATGAAAACCAGTTTGTTCTGCTCCAAGATAAACAAATCATGGCCATTTGTATGAAATGTCTTCAATTTTGAAGTCTCAAATTAATAATTCATTAATTTTAATAATTTTATCCTAAGCAAAGTACTGAAGCCACTAAGATGCAAGGGGTTACTGAGAGGAAAACAACCTGAGAAAAAAATTATTGAGGAGATAGGGCAATAAAAGAACAGGATCAAGGAGACGGAAGATGATGATTGATGATCACATTTAAATTTTTGAAGATCAGGGTCAACAAGAAAGCAAGAAGCTGGAAGTGTGAGAAAGAAACTGTTAGCAATGAGCTTACAGTCACATCTAGTAATTTTCACAGTAAAATAATGAAGCCTAACTTCCTTCACTGGGATGTGTCACCTAGCAATTCAGTTCATTGTGTTACCTGTGAGAACCTCACGAACTGTGGATTTTTGTTGGTCTGGGTGAAAATTCAATTGACTGTTCGATCTAGATGAAAAAGGGTGAACCAGCTAATTGGAAGAAAATGACACTGTTAGCAATTCAATTAGAGGTGAAATGCAAAATCTTACAACAATAGCTATGGGACTACTTCATCCCAATTATTCCTTCTCTACCCTTGAGGCACTGAGAGACATCTGTTTATCAAGTAATGCTGGTGGTACTAATGTCTTAGCAGTGAATTACTTTTATTGCAGACTTTTTCTAATTCACATCTTTGAAGGAGGCATGTCAGTTTTCTC